TCACCTAAATCCAGTTAATGCCATCTCCTCAGCAGCATGTTGACAGAAGAGGCCAACAGGCTTAGGCAAAGCACATTTAAACAGGCGTAAAGGAAAAATCTGCTGTAAAAAAAAAATCACTTAAGGACGTTTAATGGTTGAGCATATGTGCAGTTTGGCTCAGCCGCCGGGCGAGAAGACGGCGGTTAATACGCCACGGCGGTTAATACGCCGCTGCCGTGGAATATTTGTACAGATGTCTGATGAAATCAGAGGAGGAAGAGGAGGAGGAGGAGGAAGAGTCGACACCGAGGCTCCTGCTGCTGTCAGGCCTGCTCTTCTTCTGCTCACTGGTTTCTTCAGTGCACAGCAGATTATGTGGCTTCGGCGCCACCTGCTGGTCCGCCCACCATCTTCTCTATCGTCTATCTCGCAAAGTTAGCGCCACAAGAACTGGTTCACAAAACACCACTGTTTTTTGTGATGCACAACGAGTCAATATTTATATTTTATTTATTTTTAGTCGGAAAACGATCGAATTCATTCAACTAAATTTAAATTGGAAAAATGCAACACAATATTTTTTATTTTTTCATTTGTACGTTTTACCAACAGTCCTCGGTTTACGACGTCCTTGACTTGTGGCGTTCCGTGGCTACGTCGCCGTCTCCCATAAATTTATCAAGAAAGTCTCGTTCCATCGTTATGACATCACGCGTTAAAACAACGGGAACAACGGGAAAGTTGTTTATATTATATTTTTTTCTGCCCTTCATTTTGGCTCCCATGGACAAACTACGGCCCAGGGGCCAGATGTGGCCCGTTTAGCTTTTTAATCCGGCCACACTCTGTGTCTCTCTGTATTTGACCCATTTTTATAACAATAGTATAAAATGTTTTCTTAATTATTATTATTTTATATTATCAATATATTTGTTTATATCTTTGTTTTGGGTGTTTAGATGAGGGGGGGGGGGTTGATGAGGGGCTGGAATGAATCAGTTTGTTCGACCCAGATACGAGCCGGTCGACAAACGAGGATTAAACTCGTATCTTGAAGCCTGGAGTTCGTTGGCCTGGAGTTCGTTGTCTGTTTGCGGCTGAGACTCAGCGTGTGGTAAAGTATGTACGTTCTCAGGCGTATCGGCTGCTGCTGCTTAGGGTAATTACAAGTAATTACCCTCAAATACTCTTTGTAGTTGTGTTTGCGCTGCACGTTTCCTCCCAGAACGCCTTCGGGAGTTTTGCAAACTCAGCGACACAGATAGAGTTTACCACTTGCAAAGCAGGAAAATGCAGTGTCACGTGTTCACTGCTCCAGTTTCCAGGGCCCGATGTGCAAGAGCAGCGTTATGAAAACCCGGCGGAGGCACCGCGTTACCGTCACTGGACACACTGGTGTCCAGTGTTGTTGGGTCAAACGTCAGAAACCGTCGCTCTGAGGCTCCGCAGCAGGAAGAGTTTGTTGGTTTTTTATTCTGTGGTGTTGACGGTTTGACAGATCAGGTTTGAGTCAGTGACGGGTTTGGCTGCGAGTGTGTGTGTGTGTGTGTGTGTCCTGGCCGTGAAGAGAGCTCATTGTTCTCGGGAAATTCAACTACCAGGAAACAATCATGACGAGAAGTGGCTACTGAACATCAACGCAGCCGCAGCTACTGCTCCGAAAATCCTCCGTATATTACTTTAAACACAACACACTGACACTGTCAGGAGTGTGTGTGAGTGTGTGTGTGTGTGTGCATGGCTGATCAGTTCATCACAGTCACCTGTTGTGACCTGGTCATCAGCCTCACCTGCTGCCCTGGGTATAAAAACCTCCCTCCTCCTCCTCTCACTCTTTGTTTGGTGGTTGTTGTTCAGGGGTGTTGGGATGTTGTCAACGATTGTTTGTTTTGTTTGGTTTTTTTTTTCTGTTCCTGTTCGTTTCTGATTGTTGTTTGTTCCTGTTCTTGTTCTGTTCCGTGAAATGTTATCGTGTTCTCGACCAACAAAGGAACGTGAACATTTCTCCAGTTTGTCAGACTTTAAAAAAGAAAACGCATTAAATTAATTGGACTTGCCGTGACCCCGCCCCTGCAGAGGTTCACCCAGGGACGCGGTCCACACTTTGAGAACCACTGGTCTGAGCAACGGTGCCGAAAAAAAACATGTGATTTGATGCTGATGTCACTGATCAGAACTTATTTTAAAAACACAGATCTTCCTTTAAAAAACGCTCACTCAACAAAGAAAATACAAATCTGTTTTTTTTTTTTCTCAGCTTCCCCTAAATGGACCCTGCCCCCTACTTTGAACCCCGGCCTTAACCGTAGACTAGGACAAAAAGAGGCAGTTTGAGTTTCTGTGTCACATATATATATATGTTTATATATGTTTCTACAGACGTGGTGTGTGAGCAGTGTGTTGTCCTGGGGCTCAGACTGTTCACATACAGACGAGGGCTGGTCTTGTCTGCTGCCCCCGAGACCAGATTATTAGGTGGAGGTAATTTGTTGGTTGACGTTTCATCTCAGTCTGAGGCTGTGATTGTGTTTGTCCAAGTCACCGAGTTGATTGACAATAAAATGACATGCAGATCGCACTAATGACATGCAACTGCTAAAGATAGACGCGGAGGCAGGAACGCTGCACGGACAATTACGCAGCAGTCACACCTTCACACACACACACACACACACACACACACACACACACACACACCTTCACTGAACTGTTAGAATAATTGTACATTGTAAATTTGTTTAAGGCTGTGTACTAGACTGGCTGACTCTCCACTTTAATTGTCTCGGACTAATTTAACAAGTGACAGATGTGAGAACTGCCTCCAACCACACACACACACACACACACACACACACACACACCTCACCTCTCACAACCATTACTCTAATAATTAGTGCCTTTGAGGCTTTGAATGGAGCGCAGCGGGAGGTGAATGTGTGTGTGTGTGTGTGAGCGTGAGCGCCCCCCTGAGTGTGTTCACGTGTGCACTTGTTCCACGTCCACTTCTGTCTGTAAATATAAGTGGACGAAGGACGTAATTTGGACGGCATTAAAAAAAAAAAAACAACAACAAACTGTCACATCTGTAATTAAGCAGAGTGTGTGTGTGTGTGTGTGTGTGTGTGTAGTACGGGGGCTTTATCAGGTGTCTGGAGACCCTGGGCGGAGGTGGTGTTATGAACAAATAATTGATACAGAAAGAAAGAAATAATTAGCAGATTTGGAGCGATGTCGAGAGAGAGAGAGAGAGAGAGCGCAGTGACGGGGGGGCAGAGAGGGGGGGCTGTTGCTCCCTGGAGGAACGTGCAATAGAGGAAAAAAAACCCACTGATGGAGGCTCTTAAGGGAAGGCCCCCGGACACAGGCAGCACAAAAGGATTTACCCGCAATTAGTTTGTAGAGTCGCCTCGCTCACCTGTGGCACCGGAGTGTGTGTGTGTGTGTGGGTGTGTGTGTGTGAGCGAGAGAGAGAGAGAGAGAGAGAGGTGGGGGGAGTGGAGGTGGAGGAGTGTGTGGCACTTAAAGGAAAGTGTCTGCTTGACAGGGAGGTTAGAGTAGGTGTGTGTGAGTGTGTGTGTGTGTGTGTGTGTGTTATTAAAATAAAAGTAATTTAAAAGCGTCTGCGTCTGCGTGTTTGTGCTGACGAGTCACGCAGAACGAGTTAGGAACCTTTTTTTTTTTGGTTAGTTACGGTGAAGTCTGAGCGCCGTCTAAAGCAGCGCGGACGTGGGTCACATGTCGGGGTCTGACGTCTGAGTCCAGCCCAGGAACTGATCCTTGACAAATCAATGGAACCCACACACGTCAACAACGGTGTTTTCATGTCCAAATACATGAGCGGGATAAATACGTTTTTATGATGCTAACACTAGCGTTAGCTCTCGTTTCGTTTTACAAAAAAAAAGCTAAATTAATCAAAAATTATTGAGACTAAGTCTAACACACACACACACACACACACACAGAACATGTTTGTTCTAGGTGTGTCAAGATAAACGCAGCGTTAGCTACGGGGCTAGTTTTTGCTAATGTTTTAGCATCGTCTGGTTGTTGACCTCTGGGCTAACGGCTCCTAATTTACTCTGTGTTTAACTCCTTTTTAACTTTAAATATTTTTCATTCACCAGTTCAGTGGAGGCGCCAGCTGCCGAGACTGAACAGTGAACTGGTTTGAACCGGTTTGAACCGGTTTGTTGATATTAGTCAACGTGGCCCAAAATGAAAAAAAAAACAAAGAAAATCACTTTTTTTTTTGCAGTTTTGGCCTGACTGTCACGCACAATATGATGAAAACTTGTGTGTGTGTGTGTGTGTGAACTGACCATCTGTGATGGTGTTGGCTGGGAGTCTTCCCACCAGTATACGGTCCACACACACTTGTTGGAGCTGAGGTCCATTAACGGCCACCGTCACCAGAACGCCGCTCTGCAGAATCAGCTGCAGGATGGAGTGAAAACACAAACGTTGAGATTTAAATTCCACAGATTAAAAAATTTAAAAAAAATAAACTGCATGACAGGAATCTGGAAACACCTTTTAAAGTGACACATTCACACTGTGACGCTGCTGTTTTACAGTGTTTTTTTTTCTCATCAAATCAAACCAGTGAAATCCACCGAAACCTTCACGAGAACTTTCTGTCCCCGGTTATAAAAAAACCAAACAGTTAAAGGGTCATTATCAGCTGGATAACAATCAGTATTTAATTATCTTAGAAGGTTTTTGGTGAAATGCCACATATGTTTGTATTTAATAACAACCGTTTGAGAACTACAGGCAGACAATGGAGCCTTGTTCTGACTTGGAAAAGCAACAGGAGGAGAAGCCTTCAGGGATGTAGGAGTGCCGCCTGGTAATTACTCTGACAATGTTTCAAATGTTTCCTAAAGTCCAGGGAAGGTCTGGAGTCTGAGGGTGTGTGTGTGAGTGTGAGGTGTTGGTCTGACGAGGGTGTGTACCTGGCAGCAGAGCTTGTTTCGCCATCTGGTGTGAACACAGGTGTTGGTCTGCAGCAGCTCCTGAATGGAGTGGGATGGATGAGGAAACAAAAGTCTGAACCTCCATGTAGAAAAAACTGCTGCCGGGGTCGACAAACAGCCAATCAGAGGTGAAGGAGAAATTTAGCAAAAGTAGTAAAGAATATTTAATCAGAGCGACTTGTTTTAAATCATTAACAATTGATGTAAATATTTGACAAATATTTTGCACTGGGAACTCGAGGGACAGCGTGACTAAATGGAGGCTAAATAAATAAATAAATCAACAACACATAAATAAATAAACACATAAATAAATAAATAAATAATCTCCTGAAACAGTCCTGAGTCAGAAAATTAGTTATTTTTGACCTTAAAGTGATTTCTGTTTCCCTCTGCTGGTGGGAAACTCAAACACCGGTTGTTGTTTTTTTTCTCCTTTAAAAGATCAGCATCAGTTATGGTGTAGCTGCACAGCAGTGGACCCTAGTGGTCACAGGTGGTCACTGCGACACATCCTGCTTTTACAGGATTGAAAGAGGAAGCAGGTAAAGATTGAAGTGTGTGTGTGTGTGTGTGTGTGTGTGAGTGTGTGTGTGTGTGTGTGTCTGAACTGGTGTGC